GTGACTATTCTCTCCCATCCTCCCCCATGGACTCCCCTTCATATCTGCCAGTGAACCCCTTCCATGTACAAGTGTTTTTAATCCGAGACAGTCAGTGGGTCTGCTCTTTCCTCTAGTTTATGCATTAAGTATCAGAATACACCACCACATCTCTGCCAAGCCCAATCACGGAATGTTCTTCTCTGCTGTACCTGTTTGGATACACACTATCATCCACTAAATTCCTATCTTCTTTAAAAAAAGATTAACACCCCCCCCCCCAAAAAAAAAACCCTCTCATGCTTTCGTTTCCCGTTGCACTATCTTGTTGAGGGGGATATGGTTTTACATGGAATGAGGACGAGAGCGAATCTGATTTATATTCTGTGTCAGCCTGATGCTGGCCCTATAGGAGTGGGGGGTGTCTCCTACCCCCATCTTTTCTCACCCTGTCATGGGCCACACATGGTCATTATTAACGTGGGGCTGGGGATCCTGTCTTCTGGTATGAAGACCAGGTCGGCTGGCCTGTCCTGTCCTTGCCTTGGTGTGCACCTTCCAGTGCAGGCTGGAGCCCCGCTTCTCAGCCCCCCACTTCCCGGCCCCCCACCTCCCGCCCCCGGGTCCCTTGAGGGTGCCGCAGGCTGTCCTGGGATCCCACAGCCCTGGGTTCCCCACACTGCCTTGGCCCCAGCCCCCATACAGGATGGGAGCTGGTTCCATTGTGAGGGTCAGCACGGTGTGGGGAACCCTTCCCAGGGATGCTTGGGGTCCTGGGAAGCCTTGGAAGACCCCCATAAAATGGGTGCTTCTGGGCCTTCAGGAGGAGAGGTTCATGGGCTGTGCTTAGGAGGCCGATGAGGCACGGACCCACCCTCCCCTCTTCTCCTCGGGGGCCCTGGGGGTGCTGGGGCGTCACCCCTTTCTGATAGCACCCTGAGAACCAGCCACAGGCCCCCACTTCTGGAGCACCCCAGGACAGGCTCCGCAAGGTCATAAACCACCACACTAGACGGAAAACTGCCCGGGGCCTCAGGAAATTGAAATTACTCCTGGGGCTGGAGCGATAGCACAGCGGTAGGGCGTTTGCCTTGCACGTGGCCGACCCGGGTTCGAATCCCAGCATCTCATATGGTCCCCTGAGCACCGCCAGGGGTGGTTCCTGAGTGCAGAGCCAGGAGGAACCCCTGAGCATCGCCGGGTGTGATCAAAAAAAAAAAGTACTCCTTTTACAGGGGAAAATGGGGCACGGCAGGTAGGGAGTTTGCCTTGCACACAGCTGACCCAGGTTTGATTCCTCAGTCCCTCTTGGAGAGCCTGGCAAGCTACCGAGAGTATCCCGCCCGCACGGCCGAACCTGGCAAGCTCCCCGTGGCATATTCGATATGCCAAAAACAGTAACAAGTCTCACAATGGAGACGTTACTGGTCCCTGCTCAAGCAAACTGATGAACAATGGGGGACAGTACTGGAGTGCTGCAGGGGAAAATGTCCCTGGTAAGAGGCAGGAACGATGCATGGCTCTTCCTTCAGCTCAGAGGCGTAGGCTGGGTCCCTCAGCCCACAGAAACTGCCCATGTTCTTACAGCGTGTTTGCTTTGTACAGAATCTTAACTTGAACAGGAGGCTCCACTCGTGCGTGTCTTTGTTTTTTTTTTTTTTTTAATAATTTATTTATTTATTGAATCACTGTGGGAAAAGTTACAGAGCTTTCGGGTTTAGGTCTCAGTCATGTAGATACCGAACACATTTCCCTTTACCAATACTCATTTTTAACCCCGAACCCCAATAGACCCCCACCTCCCACCCCTCCCAATTCTTGTGAGGCAGATGAGTTCTAGTTAATACTCTATCTACTTTGACTAGATAGATTATTTCGATAGAAGATTCGTGCGTGTCTTTGGATCCAGCGGAGAGATTCTGTGCTTGGTCTTCTGCATGGTTTAGCCTCCTGGCTGGGGGGCAGACTGGATCTGGAGTGGGGAGCAAGGGGTGACCAGCAGGATAAGGCGAGTTGTTTGGCTTCCGGCTGGTTGCTCGACCTCTCTGGGCTGTACTCCATGGACTTGCGCTGAAAACGTGTAGCAGACACAGTCTTCTAGCCCTGGGGCGGGAGGGGTCTGGGTGAGGGACTGGGTGGCGCGTGGCCAAGGGTGGCTGCAGGGTGGAGGGGATCCCGCTGGGCGCTGGGCGCTGGGCGCTGGGCGCTGACTCAGAGTGAACTGTCGGTGCTCGCGGCAAGGGTAGGGTGCTGAGATTTCCCAACCAGCGGCCCCCGCGGGTGGGTGCTGGGTTGAGGGACCTCGGGGAACGGGGTTCAGAGCAGAGCTGGACCCGGGCTTGGTGGCCACGTGGCCAGCGCCCCTCAGGGCCAGGTTCTCTCTGGCCGGTTCTAATGACGTGGAGCCCGAAGGCGTGGCGTGGTCCAGGTCCACGTTGTGCAGGCTGGCGCGGACCCGAGCGCCAGGGCGCTCAGTCCCGAGTTCCTGGGTGGCCGTGACCCGCCCGCCTGCTGCGGGTCCTCGGGGCCGCGCCGGCGGAGCCCAACGGCGCTGCATTCTGGCCGCTGGCCACTAGGGGGCGGCGCCGCCTCACTCCTGCGCCACGCTCTGGGGACGCGTTGGCTGGGCGCGGGGAGCAGCCGGGCCAGCTGATGACCCCAGCGGGGGCCCAAGCTTGGGGACCCCAGAGGGAGGCTGGAGCCCCCGAGGCTGCCCCCCTGGGGTGGAGGGGTCGCCCCTGCCCCGCAGGCGGCCCGTCCCTTCTGGAGTGCCCCCCAGTTCCGGCTTTTGGAGACCCTGACCCGGGAAATGCTGCGGGGTGGGGGATGCTGTCGCGGGGGCGCAGCGGGTGGGAGAGGGGTTCCGGCTCCAGAGGCGCCTCTGCCCTGCCCCGCAGGCTGTGCACCCCAGAGGAGCAATCAGGGGCGGGAGGGTTCAGGTCAGGCCCAGCCACCCTGCGAGGGGTACTCACAGCCCGCTTCTGCCCCTGACAGCACTCGGCCCCGGTGCTCTGTGAAGGATATCAGGATAGACTCGGGCCGCAGTGCTCGGGAGTGGAGAGTCCTGTGTGCCGGTGGGAGGGGCTTTAGGAGAGGGGGCTCCCCAGGCCCTGTCACCCTGCTCTCTAGAGCCGGGAACCTGGGGTTCTGGAGCACAAGAGGAGTCTCACGGGAAACAGGGGCCATGGGGGCGGGGGCCGCAGGCCAGGAGCACCCCACCAGGAACCCCGGAACACTGACTGGTGGGGGGTCCCCAGAGCAGTCGAGGGGGACCAGCGCATCGGGAGGTTTTTAGCCCTCATCCATTTCTTAATCATTCATGAATTTTCTTATTTTGTTTCCGGGCCACAGCGGGCCATGCTTCAGGCTTCCTGCTGGCTCTGTCCGGGATCGCTACTGGCGGGGGTCCTGGGGGCTGGGGCTCGAGGTGGGCTCAGCGTTTGCAGAGCAGGCACCCTGCCCACTGCACCCTCTCTCCAGCCCTGCTTGATTTCCCCAAGTTTCTTTTTGGGCCCTGTGCTGCAGGAAACCATCCAAGGTAGGTTCTGAGCAGGGCACCTCCACAGCACAGCCTCCAGGGGGCGCCCACACAGCAGGTGCCAGTGTCCTCTCCCAGCCAGTGCCAGTGTCCTCTCCAAACCAGTGTCAGCTTCCTCTCCAGGCCAGTGTCAGTGTCTTCTCCCCCCATGGCTAGTCTCAGTGTCCTCTCCCCCCATGTCCAGCAACAGTGTCCAATCCCAGCCAGTGTCAGTGTCCTCTACAAGCCAGTGCCACTGTCCTCTCCCCCCATGGCCAGGCTCAGTGTCCTCTCCCAGGTCAGTGTCAGTGTCCTCTCCCAGCCTGTGTCAGTGTCCACTCCAGCCATTGTCAGTGTCCTTTCCCAGGCAGTGTTAGTGTCCTCTCCCAGCCTGTGTCAGTGTCCACTCCAGCCATTGTCAGTGTCCTCTCCCAGGCAGTGTTAGTGTCCTCTCCCAGGTCAGTGTCAGTGTCCTCTCCCAGCCAGCAAAAGTCTCCTCTCCCATACATCGTCAGTGTCCTCTCCCATCCAGTTCCAGTGTCCTCTCCCCCCATGGCAAGCGTCAGTGTCCTCTCATAGAGAGTGTCAATGTCTTCTCTCAGTCAGTGTCAGTGTCCACTCCCAGCCAGTGTCATGTCCTCTCCAGCCAGTGTCAGTATCCTCTCCCCAGACAGCATCAGCGTCCAATCCCATCCAGTGTCAGTCTTTTCCCCCCATGGCCAGTGTCAGTGTCCTCTCCTACCCAGAGCCAGTGTCCTCTCCCAGCCAGTGTCATTTAGTCTCCCAGCTAGCGTCCTTGTCCTGTCTCAGCCAGTGCCAGTGTCCTCTCCAGCCAGTGTCATTGTTATCCCCCAGACAGTGTCAGTGTTCTCTCCCTTTATGACTAGTGTCCAGTGTCCTCTCCCCTATCTGGTCAGTATCCTCCGTCCCCTCCTGTCGTCAAGTTCCTCATCAGTGTTCCTTGAACCCCTCCCACTCCTGGCCGCTGTCCGGAGTCACCTAACTTCGGTGTTTCCCAGTTTAAAGTGTGCTTGACCCCCTTGGGGTCAGCAGCTTCAGACATCAGCCATGGAACGTGGTAGCCGGGAGAGCCCTTGGTCCATCATGTCCTTTAGTTTCCTGGAACAGTGACTGCTGTGACTTCTGACTCGTCTGAATTTCGCCTCTAGGGAAGACAACTGGGGCTGGGGTGCGGGTCTGGGTCTGGGTTTCAGGCTAACACGCGGGCACCCCCACTGGATTGCATGCCCCAGGGCTTGGGGCCCAGCCAGTGGGGAGAGAATGTCGGGAGGGCCCTTGGGTGCCCCCACCCCCAGCAGGCCCCCCTCAGCCTGGGGATGACGTGTTCAGGACACAGGTCTGTGTGGGTGCTGCTGCTGAAGAGACAGACCTCAGGAGGGGGCCCGGCCACTCAGCGCGTCTGAGCAGGTGCCTGTGGATGGCCCTACCGGGTGTCTGGCCTCATGGGGCGGGACCCCACCCTGGACAGACCAGCTCGAAGGGCCTTGCCAGACGCGGTGTTTATTGGGGGCTGCTCATGGCGATGCAGAGTGAACCTGGCCAGGCCGTAGACCCTGCAGTGTCCTCCAGAGGGACAGCATGGTGGAAGGCACTGCCAGAGCCTGGGAGCTGGCTGCAGGCAGGAAGTGGAACCAGAGGAGACCCCAGGAGCACGGGAGGGCAGGGCGGGGGTCCCCAGAGAGGGGCGGCCGGGCTGGGCCCAGGGGAGGGAAAGCAGGCGGAGTCTTCAGGCCCTCCCCACTGCCTTTTGCTCGGCCTCAGCTCTGGCTGTCGGCGGGGCCGGAGGTCACGGGGGGCGGCGAGTCCAAGGCACTGCAGTCATCCGACAGGAACACCAGGTCCTGCAAGGGGCGCCGAGAGCGGGAACAATCTGGAGGAGCCAAGCTCTCTGCCTGCCACCCGCCCTGCTGTCCCCAGGCGCTACCCGCCCTTGGGGAATGGCCGCCTTCCTCAGGGCGCCCCCTGCAAGGGGCTCCACTGGCCGAGCACTGTGCCCACCCCAGCTGAGGGCCTCAGGGTGGGCTCCGGGCAGGCATGGAGAGCCCCAAGGGAGCCCACTCAGGCTGCGTGGACGCAAAAGCCACACGCTCGCCTGCAGCTGGGCCCCCCGCCCCCGTGCTGTCACACTCCCAGGCTCTGAGGGCGGAAACTGAGGCCCAGCGAGAGGAGCAGACCCACTGCAGGAAGTGGGAGGCCAAGAGAGGCGCCGGGCCCCAGCCCCTCATGCCCCTACTCTACTTCGCACAGTGGAGCCTGGGCTGCTGCTCCAGAGTCTGCCCCTCCTTTCTCCTACCAGAACCCTCCGGCCACCAAGCACCCAGCACCTCCAGCCTCCCCTCTGCCCCGCCCACACGGCTCCTGGACTGCGGGGGCTGCCCTCTCCTCATTCACAAGGGGCCATGGCAGAGGAGGGCACCCCGCAGCCACCCACTGCCTCCCTGGACCAACTTGGCCCAGCCTGGCCACACGTCCGCCCCCACTGTGGAGGTGGGCTGGGGGTTGGGGGCGCTTACTCTTCTGCAGAAGGTGGTCATGATGGTGTACAGCTGCCGGGCTTTGTCCCGAAGGGCGTCCACTGCGCCCATGTGCCAGCACTGGGGGGTCCCAACGAAGTCCCGCAGCTTGGCCAGCACACAATAATTCTGGGCGGACGGAGGGAAGAGGCGGGGGATGGTCGGTAGCCTGCAGGAACGGGACTGGCCCCTCCCGACCCCGGCCTCCCCAGGCAGGCGGACTCCCCCTTACATGTATGTCCAGGTACAGCCGGGGCAGGTAGCTCACACACGGCTCCTGTGGAGAGGGGGTGGACACAGCATCAGCACCCCACAGTCCCCTACAGCAGGCCGGCCCCAGAGGCCAGGGCCAGGCCAGTGCCAGCACACACCACCCCTGACATTGGGCCCTTCCTTCAATGCACCAGTGCCCCAGACGCACCACCGCGTGGATGCACCAAGGCCTCAGATGCACTGCTGCACGGTGCATTCCTCCAAAGATGGGAGCTGTACTACCACACAGACATACACATACATGCCACGCACAAACACACACATAAACGTATGCCACATGTGCACAGAAGCACGCACATACATGTGCACACAGCACACAGAGATCGTGCTTACACACATAGAACACACCTGAATATGCCCACCCACACACGCATACATGAAGGCAAGCATGCATGCCCCAGGCGCATGTGCAGACCCAGCAGAGCCTGCGTCCCGGGCCCTGCTCGCAGGAGCACGGCACACAGACTCCCAGGGGTGGGATTTATGAGTTCTGAGCTCTGTCCTTTGCATTTCCTGAGCATCCTACAGTGATTTCTCTTGTCGAGTTGAGAAAAGAAAACAGGGGGTTAGAGCAATGGCACAATGGGGAGGGCGTTTGCCTGGCATGTGGCCGACCCAGGTTCGATCCCCGGCATCCCGTAAGGTTGCCCAAGCGGTGCCAAGAGTGATCCCTGGGTGTGGAGCCAGGAGCAAGGCCCGAGTACTGCAACAACAGAGCCGACAAAGCAAACGTACGTTACTAGACTTTTAACCCGGGGGGCGCAGTCTGGCCCGGTTTGTTTGCAGCCACTCCAAGCCAGAGACTGAGGCTGCTGGTGGGGGTGGTCCCTGTCCCTTTGTTTCGGCCCGGGGAAAGCTCTATGACGGGACCCCCCAGATTCCCCTGGGGTTCATACCTCAACCTCACGGGGAGGGACCACGGGGATCCTGGGCCCGTCCACCCCACCCTCCTCGCAGTCCCCTCCTGGCACCCCTACGCCTGACTCTTGGGCCCGCACCCCGGGGCCTGCTCTCTTGGCAATTTCGTCCCGAGCAGCTCGAGAGAGACAGAACAAACCCAGAGCTCAGAGCCCTGGCAGCATTTCCTTGACTCCAGAACAAGGACGAGGACAGGCCCGGAAGCCTGGGGACCTGGTCTGGGGGCCCACGGTTGACTGGATGTGGGGGCTCACCCGCGGCTCGGCGGCCTGCAGGCCCTGGAAGAGGCCGGTGATCTCCTGGCTCAGCGCCAGCATCCGGGAGTAGCAGGTCGGGGGCGCCAGCCGTGCAGGGGGCACTGCCAACAGCAGCAGCAGCAGCAGCGCGGGCAGCCGTGGGCGCGCCATGGCGAGAGGGGCTCGGGTGGGCTGCAGGCTCCCCTCAAGCCGCCGCCAGCTGGCCCTCTGTACCTCCACTTCCTGTGCAGAGCACGCCCAGCTGGCCAGGACACTGGGTCCTTTCAGAGCCGCGAGCCCCTCCCTGTGCAGGGGAGGGGCAGCCGGGGAAGGACCGCAGAGGGGAGGTGATGGGGGACCGAAGGGAGGTCAGGGCTGCTGGGGCGGGCGGTGAGCAGGAGGCAGGATGGAGGCTGGACTGCGGTGTGGGGAAGGCCGTGATCAGCGGGTGGACCTCAGGCCGCTGACCAGCGGGGGCTGCTGTATCTCTGGCTCTGGGCTCACGGCAGGGCCTGGGGGCTGTGGGGTCCTGTGCATCCCCAGGTGAGCCCCCTCTCCCAGAACGGCTGCGGGTGCTGCCAACTCCCCAGCCCTTGCGTCACACCATCCCCAGCCCCGGCTACCCCCTCGCAGGTCCCCAGGCAGTCCTCACTGCAGAAGGGCCACAACGAGTAATCATAGGCCACTGTGGGGTCGCGGCCACAGCCCAGGACAGTGTGTTCCTGAGGGTCTTGGCCAACATCACCATCCTCAGTCACCCCCGGGTCCCCAAGGGCAACACCTGCAGGAAACACCTGATTTTGCGCGCGGGGGGGGGGGGGGGGGGCGGCATCTGACCGGCCTGGGGCAGGACAACAACCGGGTGCCTGTCTGCAGCACGCACCCATGTGGCCTTGATCCCGCGTCACCAGGTGTGGCCTGGTGGGTTAAGGGTCCCAAGTCCCCTGAGCCCTGCAGGGATACCCCCACCTCCTAAACGGAAACACGGGGTCGCAGAGAATTAGAGGGGGCGCCAGATCCCGGCTTTGTGAAGAGGCCCCGCACGGGGTCGCAGAGAATTAGAGGGGGCGCCAGATCCCGGCTTTGTGAAGAGGCCCCGCCGTCCCCCAGTGACCAAACAGCGCTGTGCCCCCAGATGCTGGCCAACACCAACTTCTGCTCCGGATCCCGGGAGGAGCCCCCTTCACACCCCCCTGCCCCTCTCCCTGCCCCAGACTCTCACCTCACAGCCCACGGTTGAGGAGCCTTTGACGGTTATGAACGCAGAGCCTGAGCGGGGTGGGGCCAGGGCTGTCAGCCCAGGGGCCCTGCTGTCGTCATTCATTTCCATCCCTGCAGGCACGGTTCCCCTACTGCACACACTGGGCCGTGGCGGCCTTGGCTCTGGGGTGAGGACGTCCCCAGCTTCCCCAGGACAGAGACGGAGGATGGGCAAGTGGGAGCTGTGGCAGGAGTGACCCTTCTCCAGGCCCGCTGCTGCGGCACAGACACGCCTTCCCAGGTCCCCAGCCTTCGAGCCCTGCCAGGGGAGCTCCCTCTTTCTGGAAACTCCTGGGGTGATCTGCCAGGACCCCACAGGAAGAACGGCAGCCACCTGGCAGGAAGGACACTTCTTCCAGAAACAGTTTCGCTCAGCTCCTGGCTGCTGGTCAGTGTCCACTGCGGCCTGACGTCTCCTTCCCCGCAACTTCCCTGAAAGGCCCCTTGTTTCACGCAGGAGGATCCAGGGGTGCTGGGGTGGCCTCTGGCAGGAAGGTGAGCCTGGCAGAGTTTGGGGTGCAGAGACATGGGGCGGGGTACCCCACCCTCTGAGGTTCATCTCAGCAAAGCTGAGGCCACGATGCAAGAAAAGAACAGAAACCTACCCCCAGGTTTCCTGGCCCCCAGCCCAGTGCTGCTGGTGGTGGGGACGCCCCTCGCATGTCCACATGGGGCCCCTAACACCCCACATTCTTCTGACCCGCATTTACCTGCCGCAGAGACGCCCCGAGGACCCTGGAGCCCAGGAGAGGTGAGCCCTTGAACTTGCTGGACAGTGATGCCTCGGAAATGCTGCGGAACGAGAGAAGGGGTGAGGAAGGGCCACTGCCCGCCTTTCCCACCACCAAGGTGCGCGCTGCATGACCGCGCGTCCTGCCTCTCCTCAGCTCCTGGTTCTGGGAGCTCGGGGATGTCCTACAGGGACCGAGGTGTCGCTGCGCTGCAGCCTGACCTCCCCCTCCTCTGGCGAGCCCCTGGAAAACAGCGGGAACAAGCCAGGTTTTCCATGGGGCGACCAAAGGCCTCGTTCCAGTGGGTGAGGGAGGACCGGAAACCGGGCTGTTGGCAGGACTGAGGACTGAGATCAGAGTCAAACACTTGGCCTAGATCCTGGCGCATGGTGGTGCTTGGTGTGGGGCAGCTGGGCTCGCTGGGGACTGCGGTAAAGCCAGAGTGGGGGGCCACAGGTGACTCACGCCGAGGGCTCCAGAGCTGTCCTTGGGACCCGTGGCTGTGGAAGGGTGTGCTCGGCATCCTGCTCTGAGCTGGACTCGGTGCCCAGTGCTCATTCCCGGGATGCCGCCCAGGCGCTCGTGCAGACAGAGGCTTGTGATATGGGCCTTAAAGGCAGGGGTCGGGGTCTGTCCAGTCTCACTGGCCACATGCCCTGGGCACGTCAGCCCCTCCTCCCGTCCCTGACTTTCCCGTCATCTGGCACTGCCCTGTGGCTACCCAACCCTCCTTGGATCCTGCCCTTCCCTGGAGCCCATGTTCTTTCCTCAACTGATTATGGATCACTGCTACGGTGCAGGGCCGGCTCAGACACAGGCACTGGCCTCGCCCAGGTGAAGCCCTGGGTCTGCCTGCTGCTCCCTGGGACTGAGGCTTCATTTTCCCTTTGTTGGTTCTTCTCGGATCCTCCGCATTCCGTTTGGTCCAGGGATCTGGACTGTGAAGTTTCCTTTTACCCGAAGAGCTTTTAAACAGACCCACTAGGCTGCTCGCGGGCCTCATTGTCTGTGAGTCTGTTCCTTCCTGTTTGGAGGATAATGTTGCTGGGTGGAGGGTTTGGCAAGAGACAATTAGAGACCATCAGTACGACCACCTTCCCGGCCCGGGCCCTGGTCAGTACGACCCAGTCCTGGCTGCTCCTGGAGGCTGCGGGCACGGGGTCCAGGCTTCCGGCGTTCTGAGCACGTGGGCTAGCCTTTTGAGCCGTCTCCCTGGTCCTGCAAAGGCTTTTGACTGGGGCAGAATATTTCCACCTCATGAGTCCCACTTGCGACACCAATGAAGACGCTCAGAGCTCCATTTCCCGGGTTCCCTGGCAGCTGGGACAGAGGCACGTGACCTAGGATCCCCCAGCCTGGTGCAAACCGGACTTCAGAGAGAGCATGGAGGCGAGGCCGTACTTGCTGCAGTGTTTTCGGTGCCAGGCCCTGAACAACGGGACCACAGCTGCCTCTGCCTGGCTGAATTCCTGGCCGTCCTAGGTATTATGTCAGCTAGCGAATATCCTCTAACAAGTTCCGTTTATGCACGAATGAATTGGGGTTCATTCTCCTCTTTGTGACAAAGAACTTGTCTGTGACAGACACCTGCATCTCCAAGAAGGGGTGAAACGGTAATATATGCTGAAGTCATTGGCCAGCAGCTGGATGCAGTGGGGCTGGGGGCTGCATTGGTTTAATTCCCATTGAATACCCAGGGCTTAGCACTCACCTGGAATGTAGGAAGTTCTCAGTAAACACGGGCTGCAGTAAAAGGCCACCAATCACGCCTTGTGCTGGGCAATCAGCCACATCAGCGAGCAGGCTCCGCCTCCCTGGCATGCTCCTGATGGTTCTCATTATGTGAACATCCAGGTGTCTGTGGAGTCAGAAATCAACCCCACAATTGCGGCCCAGACTGGCTCAGGGCTGTGTCTCCCGCCTGGGCATGGGCCCAGGCTGTTCCTCTCAGGGACCCCTGGCAGCAGAAGCCGTACGCCAGGACCAGACAGAAGAATCACACCGGCTGCGGTGCTTCCAGGACCCTGGTGCGGCTCCTCAACGAGCGTGGTCCTCACAGCCCCTCACAAACACCACCCACTGTTTACAGCAGACCAGATGGTGCCAGATTCCAGGACATTCCATGAATCAAATTCTCCGAATCCTCACACTGTCACCTGCCGCTGTGATCATGGCTGCACGGCAGTCCGCATCCTCCTAGCTTCCAGCAAACTCTGGAAACTCCATCACAGACTCTACTGCAGACTCCAGCATCCTGTTCCCTGGGGATCCTCAGCCCACTCTCTCTCTCTGCTGGAGGTCCCCGGCTTGTCTGAGCCCCCTGCCTCCCCGCTCTGCGTCATCTCCGCCCCTGATCTCTGTTCATGGTCTCACCTTCTGCGCATCCCAGAGGCGAGCAGTTCTGACACCTTCAGATGAACGTGCCCCTAAGGGGTCGAACCTGTCCCCTGCCAAAACACAGGGGCCTGTCACCACCATGGCTTCTGTTGAGTACAGCCTGGCCCTGCTGGCCCTTCCTGCCCGCGCTCTTGTGGGTTGGGGCCGGCTCAGTGTTCACTAGCAATTTCCAAAGAGAGAGTTAGCACTGGGTTTCTGGATGCTTAAAATTGTATATGTGAAACAGTATGAAGGCATTAAAATATATCTTCAGGGCCAGAGAGAGAGGACGGGGTTAATGCAGGTGCCCTGCATGTGGCCTTCCCCGGTTTGATCCCTGGCATCATACGGCCCCCAAAAGTCACTGGGTGTGGCTCTGCCCTGGGGCTCCTGCAGCACCACTGGGTGGCTCCGGGATCCCCAATCCTGCCAGCCCGAGGAGTACTGCATCTCCGGTCCCAGCACTGAACTGCAGACTCGGGACCTGAGAATCACGGCAGTGGCCTTCGACCCGAGCACTCTTCAGGAGTCTCCCATCACTCCTCTCCTTAAAAAACAAACAAACATAAGGAGCTGCACTTAGAAACAGCCTCTCTGCAGAGCCCTGGCCTGCTCAGCCTCTGCCCGTCTCCGCCCCAGCGTCTGCCAGCTCCTGGCCGGGCCCGGGCTCTGCGCTCGCAGTACCCGCATGAGCTCTGCCCGCGCCAGGTGTGCGGTGAAGACGAAAAGGTGCGGCCACAAAGTAACAGCCACCTCAGTTGCACCAGGGACAGGGCGAGCATCCTGTGGCGCAGACTGGCGTGTGAGCAGGGCTGGCCACGGAGCGAGCACTGCAGTGGCCTCACTCCCTGGCCACTCCTGCGCCCGGGGCCAGGGGCTTTGCTCAGAACAGCTCCCAGCCTCTGCGCCAGCCCGGCAACTGGGCCCCAGCCTCTCCCCAGGCACTCGGCACTTCTCTGGGCTGGCTGGAGGAAACCCAGAGGCAAGCGCCCAACCAACAGAGAAGGGGCGTGGGGACACCCCCCACCTCGTGCCCCAGGAAGCGGGGGGTGAGGACAGGGAGGGGCGAAAGGACAAAGGGCGAAGAGCAAAGGGGCAGTGTCCTCCCACCACTGCTGCTGGGCGGGCAGCTGCGCCCAGACCTGCCCACGGTCCAGCATCAACGCCCTGCTCTCTCGGCAGTCCCCAGAGGCCCCTGACACACCTATTCCACAGATGCACACAGAGTCCCAGCGGGGTTAGGAGGGGCCGGGTCAGCCTCCAGCCTCCCTCTCCTTTTGGGGGGGCTTGTCGCCTCGACCTGCTCCTGGTGTAGACCTCATCTGCTCTTGCTTCAAGGCTGCGCTCCCAACTGCTCTAGTCTGATAGGATCTGCATGCTCCCCCAGAGTTCACAGGAGCCCCCTTCACGGGAGAGCCGCCAACCCCACACAGGTCAAGTCAGTTCTCCCGGTGGCCCACTGACTTAGGGTCAGTCCCAGACTGAGCTGGGCGCCCTGCCCGGGCTGCTCGTCTGTTTCAGTTCCTTCCAGTTCTTTCCGACACCCTGGGGAGAGACTTTGCCCCCTTTCTTTTTCTGAGTTAGACAAAGAGATGTCTCTGCCTTCCCTGCGGGGCCAGACAGAAACCCGAGCTGGGATGAGGGAGACACGAGACAGGAATCTCCGCCTGGGCCGGACAGTGGCGCGCGGCGGCCAGCAGATGGCAGGCCGTGGCCAGGGATGACCGGCCGCTGGGCGGCGGGAGACCAGGGACCCCTCCCGTGAGCGCCCGACTCCCGCCCCGCGGGGCGCCCGGGCCCTGAGCGTCCCCCTCCCACTGTCCCACTGTGCGCCCCGCCAGACTCACAGTCCCTCGCCCCCGCTCCCGGGGGGAGCGGCCCCGCGCCGACCACGCCCATCGGGCCTCGGTTCCCCACGTGCCGCGAAGGGGCGAGATCCGGGTCTCGGGGTCGCCTCGTCCTTCCATCCACTCCACGTTGGAGAAGCACTGGCGTGGGCGCGGGGACCCCTGGCGCCGGGACCCGCCGAGCGCGCCGGTGGAGAGGCCTGGCGCGCAGTCGGTGCGCACGAGCCGCCCGGCTCCCGTGCGCGGATCGGGGGTGCCCGCACCCCTCCCCCGCCCTCCCCCGGCGCCGCCTCCTCGGCGCGACCCTCGCACACCCCCTGCGCTCGCTCTCCGCCCCTCCCCCTCCCGCTTCTCCCCTCCCCTTCCTCCGCGTCCTCCTCCCGCGCCTCCCGCCCACCGCCGCCAACCCGGCTCGAGGAGCTGCGGGGTTCGCGGGGCGCGGCGGGCGCGGACCCGCCCCTGCGCGGCGCTCGGCCCCGCACCCGCGCCGGGCATGTAGCGGTGCAGCAGCGGCGGAATATGGGCGGGAGCCACTCCCACAAGCCCCCCGTGTTCGACGAGAACGAGGAAGGTAAGCGGGCGCGGGCGCCCCCCGGGCGGGCCGGGCCGGGCCGCGCGCGGGGTTCCAGGGTTCGCGCAGCTCCGCGCGCCGGGGCTCCCCGAGAGTCGCGCCCGCAGCCCTCACCTGGGAGCAGGGCAGGGCGGGGCCAGCGCCTTCTAGCAGAGGGTATTGCTGCTGGGGACCCCAGGAAGCCGGGGATTCCGACCGGCTCGCGCCCCTTGTGTGTGTGTGTGTGTGTGTGTGTGTGTGTGTGTGCGCGCGCGCGCGCGGGAGTGTGTGCGTGTACGCGCGCGTGTGCGCTGTCCACGGTAGTGCCGTTTGCTGTCCAATCTGGTCACTCCGCTCAGATACCCAGGACAGCCCTGGAAACTTTCTTCACGCAACTCGGGAGCCTCCCAGATAGCAGCCGGCCCTGCCACACCCCTTCTCAGGACAGGTCTTTGTCCTGCAGGTCGAGAGTGCTATTGTCTGCACGGTGGAGCCCCCCTTTCCCCTCCCCCTACTGTGTGTGCGAGGGCAACCGGCTGGACCGCTCTGAAATGTGGGGGCCCTCAGCGGGGACTCAGGGTCACTCCTGATCCGCTAAGTGACCTGGGAAGCGTCAGGCCCCAGTCTCCCCCATAGATGTTAGCTCGGCCTGGACCTCCTCTGTGTGGCCTGTGGCTGTCACCTCGGGGTCTGGAGGCCAGGCTTCAGGTCCCAGTGCGCTGCAGTGAAGGCCCACTCAGAGCACAGCTGGTTTGGGTCAGGCTCTCGGTCCCCTCCTGCAGCCCCAACATGGGTCATCTGCTGTCCCCATCTTGGAGAGGCAGGAAGAGATATGTTCTGGCCATAGTCTTAGACGGCAGAGCCCGCTTTGAGGCTGTGCTTTTCAGCAAGGGCTGTGCACACACACAGGCATAGATCAGAGTTTCTAGACCCACCAGGGAAGTGGGAGACAGCCACGTACTTGGGACAAACTACCCCCAACTCCCCTCACCTAAGGACACTGAATACAGGGATAGCGCAGACCATGAGCCACTTGCCTTGCGTGTGGCCAGTCCCAGTTTGGTCCTTGGCACTACATAAACTTCCAGGAACGATCCATGAGCACGGAGCCAGGAGCAAGTCCTGAGCATTTCCAGGTGTGACCTCCAAACCAAAAGCAAAACCAGTCAAGCCCCCGTCCCCCCCAATCTACAGGCACTGAACACGGCCAAGGGGGTGGAGTCTGGTCCTTGGCACCTGTTCTTAAGGGACTTCCTCGTCCGTTGTGGATCACGAGTGACCATCCTTGGTGACAAGAGCAACGAGCAGGGTCAGTGCTGGAACTTGGAGCTGGACACTTGGAGCTTGAGCCCTTCCTCGTTCTTTAACCTGGTGTTGAAGCAGGAGGTGAGGGTCAGGAGTGGACAGAGTGGTCAGGAGGAGTCACTCTGTGGCCAGATGGCTCCAGACGAGTTCGAGCTTGACCCTGAGCTTCTCTGTGGAGGCCAAAGTGACCATGAGGGTCCCGTGCCAGGGCCAGCCCCGTCCCCTGGGGAGCACTCATCCTTAAGCCCCCCGAAGATGCACTTCAACACAGAGAGGGGGTCTTTGCTCTGTTTCCCGTCTGCCTGGGGGGTGTGGGTTCTGTCTGTCTGCTCAGGCTTCCGAAGTTTCACACCACAGGGTTCACACCACAGGGGTGTGAAGGTCAGATTGGGGAGAACAGACCCCAGTTTTCTCCCGGTTTTCTTCCTGAAGGCAGCAGGTTGGAGGTGGAGCACAGCGGGCCGTTTCCCGGGAGGGCCCTTCCTGGCCTGCTGCCTCCCCCATGTCCTCTTCTGGACATGCTTCCTGGCGTTCAAGAAGAGCCTATGGGGTCTTACGAGAGCATTAGCCCTGCTCCTCCGGCCTCCTCAGCCCCATCCAACCTCTTCCATATAGGCTTTGACTGAAAAAGTTTGTGGGAACACACGCCAGCCCCAAGCAGGAGCCTTTGATGGGAACCGTGGGTGGCCTAGAGGAGACGGGAACTTATGCCTCACCCCAATTTTAGGGCTTATGGTTCTAACCTGGGTCAGAGGTAGTTTCCTGGCTCCAGGTGGTTTTCTCGGCCGTTCTTTCTTCTTTCTTTGTCGAGAAATCTGCTGCATCATAACAGTCTCCGTGTGTTGCCTTAGGGAAGGGGCTTGGCGCTACGGACAGTGAAGCAGTTCTGGCTGTTTTCCTTCTGCGTTTCCTCATTCCCAAAGCAGCCCGAGCCCTGGGGCTTGGTACCTGTGTGGGGCCCCTTGGAATGACGAGGTTGGATGCCCACATTTCTCCCGCTTCTGCCCAGTGAAACATTAACTTGCCTCACTTTGCCTGCATGTTTTCCAGTCAGTTCTCTGTGCGGCCAAGGTACTGTTGCCACCACCTGGCTTTAGTGGGCATTTACGGATCTGCTTTCCTGTGCTCACAGCTCTGCTTGGTGCCACGAATGCAGAGACAACGTGGGCAAAGGCCTGACTCCCAGGTTGCTTGGAGCAAACCCGACATCCGAAACCTGGCAGTGAATGCAGGGGCTGTGGGGCCCTGGAATGGGGGTGGGGGGCCTTTGACCTGAAGCAGGAGAAGACTTCTTCATTGGCTTGAGTTGCCGGGCTAGGAGGGGTTGGTAGAGAAGGAAAGGGTGTTTCAGAGGGAGGGAGCAGAACGTGCAAAGCCAGACGATACAGGCTGACCTCGGCTGATTGGAGAGATTGGAGGTGAGTGTAGACCTGCAGGGCGGCCGCGATGCTGGAAGGCGCAGGACATGAACCCAAGTGCCAGGCCGTCCTGTGTGGACCCAGTGGGCATGTACTTGGCCTTGACCTTATGGGTGCTGTGGAGTTGCAGGGAAGAGTTGGAGCAGAGAAGTGACAGGGTCCTGGGACTGCTGGCGCCCTGCCTGACCAGAGTGTGCGGCTGGAGAGGCAGATCAAGTCTGGCTGGAAATGGTTGAACCAGAGCTGAGAATTTGCCAGGACATAACTGTACCGTGACCACCTGCATTCCCCTGGCAAAAATTTAACTTATGTCCAGGTAATATTAACCAGAGCCCAAAATCGCTGGTGCTGTGAGGACAGCTTTGCCGTGTCTCCAGCAGCGTTTCACGGAGGGGGACGTAAGGAACCTCACTGTGGGTGCCCAGGGCTGAGTGGGGAGAAGCTGGGCCAAGGGTGGAGGAGGACCCCACAATTCAGCCCCTAGCACCGGCCCCTGGGCCACCTCTGTAGGCCCATGGGAGCGTCCGTCTCCCCCAGATATGCGGGAACTCAGGGAAGCTGACCGGGAGCGGGCCGGTAGCGGGAGAGTAACGGCGTTCCCCACAGCCTTGGGGGCCGATGACAAGCCTTCAGAGGCCATCTCCAGGAAGCCTTCTGAGCAGTCACATTCTGGGAATCCAAGCAGATGCGTGTTCCGGGAACCAGAACACAATGATCTGCTCAAATCCAGGCCAACGATGCTTTCAAGGTTTTTGCTTCTACCACCTCGTCGTCCTTCCCCGAGGCCTGGTGTTCTGACGCCTGGTGCACCTCCCGCAGGGATACCAGCTCCTGCTGCCCCCTCTCGTCCTTGTCTAGTGTTTCTTACAGCCACAGTGCCTTTAAAATTAATATTGTAACGGGTTGTATTACTCCATCCACGGAGCTACCGTCATTTACTTAAGTAATCTTCTTCATTGTGTGGTGGTTAGGCTGTTTTGGTCTCCAGCTTTATAAATAAATTGCTTGGGAACTTTATGCATTTTTGGCCCCTTTTAAATGAATACTTGAATGAGATAGAAGGAGGGAGTCTGGTGGAGTTGAGGGACCAAACACTCTTTGGACGCCCAGATATGGCAACTGGTGTTTCCGAAGGGGTCTGACGAAAGTGTCACATCAGGGATGGATATATTCACCTCATAACCAGGTGGTCTCTGGCCAGGCGGGATAGGGCACGGGAGAGAAGTTTCTGTGAGTTCTGATGGTCCAGACCAGAGCTGGAGAATTTCCTTTTAAGGGAACTCATTGGCTCGGGCCCTCTCTCCCCATCTCCACACCTCCGGTCCAAGCCATGGTTACATCCGTTGCCTTGACGGTTTAGTGGGTCCTTCCTGGTCTCCTTACCATTCCTCTAACTTCCTTCTGTGATGCAGTAGCCAGAGATCCCACTAAGACGGGTGTGGAGCACACCAACGCATTGCTCAAATGCCCCCTACTCCTGTCTCTCACCAAGCAGCAAGTGAAAGAATCAAAGCCAGCAGCCCCCTCTGTCTCCTTTCCCTAATGGTCTCTCTGCCTCCATCCACAAGCTCCTGAGAGCAGGTTCCTGTGCTGATCTCTTTGGAAGATGCAGTATGATTCATTCACTGCGGTGCCTTCACACCGCAGAACAGCTGAGCCACACATGCTTGCTGGTTAGATGGATGGAGGATTGGACAATGGATGGATGCAGGGGAGCGGGGGAAGATGGATGAATGGAACGAAGGGAGGGTGGATAGAAGGAAGGATGGAGGGGAGAGGAAAGATGCATTGATGGATAGAGGAATGGATGTGCGGAAGGATGGATGAATGAAGGAAGGACAGCTGGAAGGAAGGTGGAAGCGAGGGAGGATGGGAGGAAGAGGGAGGACGAAGGAGGTGTGCATCTCCTCATCCCACCAGCATGCTCCTTCCTGGCCTGCTCTGCTGCCCCTGGGCCCGCAGACACTCTCTCGCTGTGCTCCTGCTGGCTTATCCCGCATCATGAGGAGGGGAAGAGCACTCTCTGTGTTTGTTTTTTCACAGCCGTTGCACCAAACGTCTGGGTTTTTTGTTTTGTTTTGTTTTGTTTTGTTTTGCTCTTTGGGTCATACCCGGCAGTGCTGGAATCTAACCCAGGTCGGCCGCGTGCAAGGCAAACGCCCTACCTGCTGTGCTATTGCTCCAGTCGCTCAGGGTTGGTTTTGATGGGTTTTGATGCAGTCCCAGGCTGATCTCAAGCCAGTTGCTGTGCCCAGGGCAGGTGAGACTTGTTCACCCCATGGGACCACACGCCTGCCT